TAAACCCTAAACCCTCAACCTTTCAGGGCTGCCCCCCAGCACATCCTCGCGGCCCAGGAGCGACGCTGGTGCGCCGGCCATCCGGCGTCCGACTGCATCCGAATCAGTACCTGTCAGGGGTTTGGGGTTGGGGTTTAGGGTTTAGGGTCTAGGGTCTAGGGTCTAGGGTTTAGGGTTTAGGGTTTAGGGTTTAGGGTCTCAGGGGTAGAGGATAAAGGTCTTTATGTTCAGGGTTGAAGGTTTAGGGTTTACAGTTTAGGTTTAGGGTTTAGGGTGTAGGGGTTTAGGGTTTAGGGTTTAGGGTTTGGGGTACTTGGAGGTTCATGGGTAGCTATAAGTGGGGTTATAAGTAGGGTAACTGTAATTATGACCCATATTGGGGGACTTGTAACTCCACTTATAACTACCCATGAACCTCCAAGTAGAGGATAAAGGTCTTTATGACTAGGGTTTTGGGTTTAGGGTGTTCGGGCTTAGGGTATAGGGGTTTGGGGTTTAGGGTTTAGAGTATAAGGATTAGGGTTCTGTATTCAGGGTTTCGGGCTCAGGGCTTAAAAGTTCAGGGTTTGTGATATGTGGATGGCGAACAAAACGAGGTTGAGGGTTAATGGCTTTCAGATTGGCGTTTACGGCTTGGAAAAGGGAAGAAGACATGTGTCCCCCAATCCACTTGAGCGCAAAGAAGTAGCGATAAACACACAAACCAGCAGAAACACGTGTGAATAAGTGCACCTGTGCATGCATACGTCAGGCGCACATACGAGAACGCATGAACCCAAAATGCAAGAACGATCAAACTGTGTTTGCACGCTCGCACAATCACAAGCACGTATATCAATCTGGTGCATGCCTAGGTGTTGATGTCAGAAATACATGGTACTGCAACAAAGTGCATGCAACAACGCAGACGCCCATGAAGCCGTCGGAACCAGAATCCAGCTTCTTTCCCAGTCCGGCCCAACCCGACACCCTGCCCTCAACCCTGAGCCCCCAACCTCTTAGACCCCGCACTTCTAAACTTCTGAAACCCTAAACCCTGGCCTTAAACCCTAAGCCCCACGCCAAAAAGTTTAGGGTTTTGGGTTTAGGGAAACCCCAAACCCCAAACCCTAAACCCCCCACCCCCCACCACGTCCGTTGGATTCGCTACCACCGCAGCGACCACGCCGGCAGCCAGCGCGGCTTGTAGGCGCCAAAGCAACGGGATGGGACCTCAGGCGCCAGGCTACAAGGGTTTAGAAGCTTTGGGTTTAGGGGTTGAGGGGTTTAGGGTTTAGAGGTATAGGGTTTAGGGTCTAGGGTTTCGGGCATTGGGCTTAGGGTTTAGGATGCAGGGTTCAGGGTTTAGGGTTTAGGGTTTACGGCTAAGGGCTTAGGGTTTAGGGTTTATAGGGTTCTATATATATATATATATGTATGTATATATATATATACATATATATATATATACATATATATAAGTGTATGTAATCATCCCCAAAGCTTGCACCCTAAACCCTAAACCCTTAGAGATTAGGTGGAGAGAGAGATAGATTGATACATAGATAGATAGATGCATAGATAGACAGATAGATAGATAGATAGATAGATAGATAGATAAATAGATAGATAGATAGGTAGATAGATAGGTAGATAGATAGATGAATGGATAGACAGATAGCTAGATGGATGGATAGATAGATAGCTGGGTAGATAAGTAGATGGATATTCATGAGCTCTGGATTGAGCTGCCGAAATCGCGGAACAACTTGTGTTCCTTAGAATGTTCAAGGGCTTTGGGTTGGGGGTTTAGGGGTCTAGGGGTCTTTTGGGGTTTAGGGGTTTAGGGTTTAGAGTTTGGGGTTTAGGGTTTGGGGTTTAGGGTTTGGGGCTTAGGGTTGGAGGTTTAGGGTGTGGGCCAAATAAGCCTCACTACAAGACACCACGAAGGCCCTTGCATTGAACCCTAAACCCAGACAAGGTGCCCGCATCTGCCTTGCCCCATCTCTCGAAGACGCCTGCAAATCTCCACAGTCCATACTTGGAGGTTCGTGGGTAGTTAGAAGTGGGGTTATAAGTCCCCTACTATGGGTTATAAGTATAGTTGCCCTACTTATAACCCCAGTTATAACTACCCATGAACCTTCAAGTGCAGAAAAGTATGAACAGCAACACAAGCTACAAGGAACCCTGAAACTCCGAAGCCCTAAGCCCTAAACTCTGCACCCTAAACCCTAAAACTCTCAACCCTGAACTCTGAAACCCTAATAAAACCCTAACCGCCTAAACCCAGAGAACGGTGGGCTAAACCCCAAAACCCTAAACTCCTAAACCCTAAACCCCAAAACCCTAAACCCCAAAACCCCAAAACCCTAAACCCCAAAACCCCTCAAAGCCCAGAAATTCGTGGGTGGGGCGGTCCTCCACATTTGGGGTCATAGCGACGAAGGACAGACGACCCCCGGGCCTAGGATTTAGGTGTTAGGGTTTAGGCGTTTAGGGTTTAGGATTTCGGGGTCAGGGTTTAGGATTTAGGGTTTAGATTTCAGGAGTTTAGGGTTTAGGATTTCGAGGCTAGAGTTTGGGGCTTCTTCAAGCTGTCTCTGGCTTCTTCTTGGATTTGGTCGCTGCACCCTAAACCCCTAGAAACTAGCTTATTCCCTAGAAACTACCTTATTGGTGTTGAAGCTTTGGTGTTGATTCTGGGGTTTAGTCTTGAAGGCTTCGGGTTTGTGGCTTGGGATTATACCGGTTTAGGGGTTCAGGATTTGGGAGCTTCCCAAAATAGGGGACCCTAATATAGTACCCTAAGTAGTAGGCTCCTTACTATAAGGACCCCAAAATAAGGTACCCCCTACTTTCCAAAACTCCCATTTAGGGTTTACGGTTCCGCAGAACAGAGAGGCCGATTCGCCTCAGGTAGGCCGACACTAAAACCTCCTCAGCATCACATCAAAGGCACCCCCGACAAACTCAATGCCGGCAACTCATCGAGTTTAGGGTTTACCTTAAGAACCCCAAACCCACTTCTTTGTAGGTTCTTATTATAAACCCTAATATGGGATCTATAGGGACCCTACAAAAAAGTAGGTTTTGGGTTCTTAAGGTAGGGTTTCTCCATCACGAGAACGGTTTCGATCACGTCCAACTCCTCAGCAACTTCACGAGCAGCATGGGTAGACTCGCAACACCACGATGACGTCGCTGGCATAGTGGGTTCTCCAGCGGGCTTCGGGTTTGCTGCTTTGCATAGAGTGGAGCCGAGGGTCCAGATTGAGGGGGTAAGGGTTTAGAGTTGAGGAAGTAAACTGAAGGGACGATTATGGGTGCTACAGTTTCTACACATAAACAGGATCTTTATTGTAAGGATCAAAATGGGCCCCCGCAGTTTTCTGAATTTCGAACAAGGTTTAGGCAGCCACCACACGGATTACCCAGAGACCTTAGAAACCTCGATCAAGGACCACACATTACTAAAAGGTTTGCCGTTAAGGTTTAGGGCTTAGGCTTGTTTTACGTATGAGGGTTGCGCAAAGGTCTCTAGCGTAAGGTATACCAGTACCCCAAGAAAGCCCTCAATCCTAAAACCTAAACCCTAAGCCCTAAACCCTAAGCCCAAAGTCCTAGACCCTAACTCCTCAAACCCGAAGCCCTAAGCCCTAAACCCTAAACCCTGCAGCCGCCAGGGCACCCTCTTTGAGCAAATGTCCCTTGGTCCCGACAGCTCTTTGAAAAGTTTAGGGTTTAGGGTTTAGGGCCCCGAAACCTGATTCCAGTAAGACGCCGTAAGAACAGTGCATGGCCCTGGCATGTACTACCTCGTCTTGGATAGCCCCTTTTGGTCACGGTTTAAGGTCTGGGTAGGTTTAGGGTCTTGGTGGTAAGGAGCCTATGATAAGAAGCGAAGGTCAACAACAAAACTACTAAATTAGGGCCAAGGTATCATGGCCCCTAGTGTAATGAGAGTTGTATCGAGTTTTAGATATCATGGCCCTTAAAGCAACCAGAGTTGCAGCCCACCGGTTTAGGTTTCAGGATCACTGAATCCCGTAGACCTAAACCTTACACCTTGAACTGCTCGGAACCTCAAACCCTAGGCCCAAATTTATCCTGCGCCCAATGCCCTAAACCCTAAACCCAACACGCTAAGGCCCTCTAAAGGCCCAGGGCCGCGAACGCCAAGTATGTCGGCGCCCCTTGGATGATGCCGGCGAGAACTCTCTCACCTGCTTACCAAAAAAAGAGGGTTCAATGGGAGTTAACAGGATTTGCACTTTTTTTGTCCTATTGGACGGCTTAAATAAAGCCAAAGGTGGGTTCATGCGACGATATTAAACGTAGAATGTCACTATACAGGCACGGTGCGGAAACTATTCCGAACTCTTTGCGCGCACAAGGGTTTTTGAGTTGAGTTTTCCTTTGCGGCTTCGGTTTCGGGGCTTGCATTTCGGCTCTGCATCGAAGCCAGAAACTTCTCCTTAAGGTAGAGTCTAGCGACTTCCACCCTAAACGCTAAATCCAACCCAAGAAACGCTAAATCCAACCCAAGAGCCCCTAACCCTAATCCTTATACATGTTCCAACTTTCCGGGTTTCGCTGTACTTGGGAGCTGATGGTACTAAGTAACTAGGGTTCTAAATAAGGGTAACTACATCTATAACTAATAAATCATAGCTCCCGCTAGGGTACTTGAAACCTTACTACCCTAAACCCTAAACCCTAAACCCTAAACCCTAAACCCTAAACCCTAAACCCTACTACCCTAAACCATTGAAGGCCAGGGTCGCAGATTTAAATTGGGGCTTCGGGTCTGGGGTCCCGGGTTGCGAGTTCAGATTTATAGTTTAAGCTCTCAAGTTTGGGGGGTTTTTGGGGTTAGGGTTTAGGGTTTGTTGGCTTAGGGTTTTACGGAGGAGTTCGGGATTGGGTGTCTAGGTTTGTCGGAAGGTTTCTATCGGCTTTCATTGGTTCTTGTTGCGGGGCTGAATCTTCGAAAACAGTACATTAGGAACCGTGTCGAGGCTCCAGAGCTCTGAATCAAAAAGGTATACTCTACATAAGCTCACGGGAGACCGTCTAGCTTGCAGAGAGCTTCATGGACTTGACTATGACTCGAAAGGTCCGTGGCTCGAGCACAACGCCATGGTTTAGGGTTTAGGATTTTAGGTTTAGGGCTTTAGGGTTTTGCGGTTTAGGCTTTTGGGTTTCTAACGCTCCGGTCATGTGCCGTATTGCACGCAAACTAACGAGCATGGACCCTCCAAAATCACAGCAGGACACCCTTTGAACCGTGTCAAGACCGTATAGCAACCCGAAAAGACACAAACCCTGTAGGTACGTCTAGAGCCGAGGGACTTCGTAAGCAGTCGAGCCGGTCAATAAGTTGGAGAACCCACTTAGGGTCGCTATTCAGATACCTATAATTCCACTAGGGCCACTAAGGTACCCCGCCCCCCCCCAACCCCGAAACCCTGAACCCCCCAGACCCTAAACCCTAAAACCCGCGTGCCCTAGACCCTAAAACCCTGAACACTGTTTCCTAAATCGTACTAAACCTTGAATGGTCGCTTCAATCGGGCGCCTGTGTCGCCACCATTGCCGAACCTTACAACAAAAAACGACCCAGGGGCTTGCAGGGTGTTGTAGGCTACGTGCCCAGAGGGCTGTACTAGGTCTTTAGATGTGTTTCTCACATCTTGTTCTGTAGGCTGGTTGTTCTGGCTAGGTGCTTTCAATGTTTTGCAAGCCCTGTATAGGCAGAAACCTACAGGTTGAGGGCTTCTTCTTATGGTTTGTTTTCAACGTTGAAATGCCCTGGCAAATCCCCATAACAGAACCGTTGTTGTAGGCGAGCAGCATCGCACCGGCGCCCGAAGCGATACCCTGTGCTGCTTGAAGGATCGGCAGGATTGGGTTTAATATAGGGGCCTAAATAATTACCAATACTACTTTGGCGGTTCCTTTATTATGAGTACAGCATAGTGGGCCCCGAAACCCTATTCTCATGATTAAGGCCCCCTACATTAGGATTTAAGTGCTCCAGGGTTGAGGGGCTGCGGGGGTGAACCTTAACCCTAAATGACCTCCTGTTTAAGGACTTATATAAAGAAATCGGTTTAGGGTTTAAGGTTTGGGAAGGAACCTTAAAGTAAGGTAGGATTTTTAGGGTCCAGGAAAAGGTTAAGGGGGATGAGCAATCCACAGCGAGTCGGGTCTCCGTTCATGTACAGGAATCCATAAGAACCGGGATCCACCATGGGTGCCATATGGGTTCAGGGTTTAGGGCACAAAGGTTCTATAATCGGTGTTATAAGGGTTAAATCATGTAGGACTATATTCGGGATTTCATACTGGGTGCTGTAAGGGTAATATAGGAGGCCATAGGAGTTTGGACGATCCGAGGGATGCAGCAATTAGTACTTGGCTTTAGTGTAGCAGCACCGTAGCTTTGCATCGGGGAAGTATGCGGTTATTAGATACCTGGGCCCTTGATCACGGCAAAGGTCCGGATAGTGTTTAGCATAACGTTTTTGTCTCGTGGAGTTCAGGGTTTACGGTTTAGGGTTCAGGAACAGGGCATCAAGAGGGGCAGCAATCATCCACACCTGCCAGCCCTCTTAGGCCCCACAGCAGGCAGTTGGGCTGTCGTTAGAAGTAACAAGGCACAACGAATACCGAGTATATCTGAACGGGATATCGTAATGACACGCTCGTGCATACGGGTAAACTGACTCAGTGGCTACAATGACACGGGCAACCACCTGGCTTGTGCTCTAAGCCCTACGCTGATGTAGAGGTAAGTTTACAATGTACACAAAGATGGATATCTTACATACGTAATTACTTACCTACCTACCTACCTACCTACCTACCTACCTACCTACTTACTGGCTGCCTGCTGAATGATTATTGGCTTAGCAGATTTAGTCCACAGGTTAACAAAGCAGTTGATTAAGTATTTGACGTGAGTTTTTTCTTTAATTGATGAAACTCCTGTTGAGATACTTACTTAAGTTTG